TTCTCAGCCGATCTTCATATGGGAAGTGCTCCAGTCCCCTGATCATTCTCGTGACCCTCCTCTGGACTTGTTCCAACAGATCCATGTCCTTTTTATGTTGAGGACACCAGAACTGCACACAATACTCCAAGTGAGGTCTCACGAGAGCAGAGTAGAAGGGCAGGATCACCTCTTTTGACCTGCTGGTCACACTCCTTTTGATGCAGCCCAGGATGTGGTTGACTTTCTGGGCTGCAGGCGCACGCTGCTGGCTCATGTTCATTTTCTCATCGACTAGCACCCCCAAGTCCTTCTCCGCAGGGCTGCTCTGAATCTCTTCTCCTTTTGTTATCCATCAATCTGCAAATTTTCAAGATGTAAACAAAGAAGAGGTCTAGAAATAGTAAATATCAAGAGGAATTCCAGAAAGGTGAGATCCAGGGAAAACCTATGCAAGAAAAATAATGCACTCTCTGTCATCTCTCACAGGTAACCTTGAAATGTCGAGTTGGCCTGTTTTTCCACATGCCAGTGAAACATGGAAGTTTGAAATAACAGCAATCATCACTTGTACAATGTCTGTCATTTAGCACAAAATCATAGATAATGTGTTTCTTGCACTTTCAGATGAGCTGTCTTAACATCAGAAAAAGCAGAAGGCCTCAGTCTTTTCTTTTGCAGCATCATTACTGATAGTTTTCGTACTTCAGATTGTGTTGTCAGTAGAGGTATCTATCAAGTTAGCAAACATAAGGTGAACTATTAAATGGTTAATTTTTTCATGTGTTGGTTGTATGTCTTGAGTTTTGCAACATGACTAAAAATCTGGCATCCTGGATGCAGTTGCTGCTGTGGAATATACCTGATTTGTAGAAGTATTTCACTGGACTGTGCCTTCTAGTCATCAGTGATGGAAGCTTAAGAATGTAAAAGAGACTAAATGTAAACTGGGTTGATTTGTTGGTTTTTTTTTCCCTCCTGGTAACTTCTTTGCTGCTGATAGGGAATGGTTTAGGTTTAGGTTTTCCTGAGAATGAGGTTATAAAAAACAGGTCATTATGATTAGTAGAAGCTAATGGAGTTCTGTACCAGACTTGTTTGATCTTTTGAGTCCATTTGTGCTTTAGCCTTCACAATATCCTCTAGCAGTATGTTTCACAACTTAATTATAACAAGGTTTGTAGAGCTAGGGAAAAGATTTTTATTCTAAAATGAAGTTTTCAGGTATTAGGTGTATTTTCCAGTTCCGGTGTTTGCAAGGCGGAGAACGGCAATCTCTTTTTCACATTTTGCATATTTTATATTAGTCTCCTACATCTTTGTCGCTTTTCTCTTGTGTGCTCACTTTCACTAAAAGCTGAAGTGTTTTAGCCAGTTGCATATGAAAACTGTCAATCATCCATATTGACTTTTGTGGTGTGTTTTATTACTCTGAGTAATTTTTTTCCCCTGTGTTTTCAGTTAACAGCAGGCAGTTTTCAGGACTGTGTGTTTGTGGCAGAATAATGCTGTGATGTAGTATTGTTTGTGTTCCTATTCCTTTCTTAATCTTTCTTGAATTCTAACTTGTTTAGCTGTTGCTATTGAGCTATGGAGGTTTTGTTGTTTTTTTTTACTGGATGTGTAAGAACGCAATGTCGACCAACCTTACTCATGTACTTACTGGATACTTGTTTAAATAATTTGATTTATAGCATTCCTGTCCCAAGTCACATTCTTTTTTACTAAAATACAGTTTCCCCTATGAAGATGTCTAGTGATTTAAGTGGTTTGTGGGTCAGTTAGAGTTCTTAGTTCTGAGGAATGTTTATGGGATCTTAGAAATTATTTTGAGGTGGTAGAGGAACGTGCTGTTCAGTGACATGAAGGCTAGGGTACATAACCATCAATTGGCCATCAAGGTGACATTACTGAGGAAAAAGTAGCTGAATTTAATTCAGAGATAGTAAAAAAATGGACTTTCAGTAAATATGAATGTGTAATTTATTCCTGCTTTGCCTCTCCCCCTAATGTCTTCCAATACTAAAAGGGAGCGTACAAGAAATCTGAAGAGGGACTTTTTACATGGGTATGTAGTGATAGGACAAGGGGGAGTGGTCTAAGATGGCAGAGAGTAGATACAAATTAGATGTTAGGAATAAATTCTTTACTATGAGAGTGGTGAGACACTGGCACAGGCTGCTCAGAGAAGCTGTAAGTGCCACATCCCTGGAAGTTCTCATGGCCAGGTTGGATGGGGCTTGGAGCAACCTTATCTAGTGGAAGGTGCCCCTGCCCATGGCAGGGGGATTGGAATGAGATGGTCTTTTGGGTCCCTTCCAACCCAAACCGTTCTATGATTTTATGAATAATGAAAGATCTGCCAAATTTAGTTTGCATAATGTCTTGGGAGGTTCATGTTGATAAAGGTCACTTTTATACAGGTTTGCAAGTTGATTACAGTGACATCACTAACTTTATTTTTAATGGAAGAGGCTAGGGAAAATTGGCATGTTGAAGTATAAACGTGGTGCACTGAGCATCAGATGATCAGGGGTTGCCCTGTGCATCTCCAGAATGACTCAGTGCTTTAGCTCTGCCTCTGAAGAATGGGGATTTTGGTGTTTTTTCCTGTGTGGTATATTCAGGATTTGACTAAAGAAAGCTAGGGTGTTTATTTCTCTAAGTAATGGCTTCTTTTTTGTGTGTAGATGCCTCTATTATTAATAAAGTTTTTTAGGCAGCAGTAACTGTACATGCAAGGGGACTGAATCACCTATGCTCAGAGTTCTGCATGGCTAGATCTTGCCTTACGGGAGTGTAAGATGTTGTCCAGGCGGTTTTTTCTGTGTTAATGTGGTTTCTGATGTACTAGTGTCCTCATCTTGGGTGGGATCTCTTGGCCACAGTACAAGCAAATGTGGTGTGTGGTGTGTGCAGTGTCTCCTTTGCTCCAAAAGAGGCACCTCTTAATTTTTTTTCTTGGTGAATTAAAATGTGAAGAGGGGTTGAAACAAAGACTCTAGTTCTACTCCAGATCAGGCAGCTAATCTATAGGGATGTTGTAAATTATCGCTTAAAGATAATCTGTTGTCTAGTCAGTGAGTCACAGACAGGTGAATCCTCTGCCAGATTCACCCCTAGGTGAATTCACCCCCTAGGTCTTCAGGGGAGAACAGTGAGGTGGGATGCACACACCTACTCACACTGTTATCTGGGGAAAACCAGAGGCACAGGGTGTGCTTGGGAGATGACACTAGGCTGATCCTGAAAAGATAAGCAGATAGGCTTTGGGATAAAACTTTCTGGCTGCCAAATGGCAAAGCTGTTTCAGTTTTCTTGTGACCTTTCTGCATTGCAAATATGATCATGCAGTGATACATACCACAGAGGAAAATAGAAATGAAGTACATGTCCCAGAGATCTCAAAATTGAAAATACATGAAAACGAATCTTGCAGCAAAAATTTTGGTTTCATTGTTTCATTTGAAGTTAAAGCCAAACAAGTGAACAGTATGCTAACAATAACTAAGTACGATGTGAAAGGAGCTTCTGTCTGGTTGAAAATGTAAATTTTAATTTCATTGTTTAAACTGAAAAGAAATAATTTGATTTCATCTTGCTTATCCATTTCTTCTGCATAGGAAAGACTGCCAGTACTTTAGAAGATTAATTTCTCAAGTTGTGAAAAATAACTTCAGAATTTGCTGAATGTTCTTGTCACTCTTTTCAGTGCTGTTGTGCTCAACTTTATAGTGCCATTAGCTCTGCATTTTTACTTAGTGCATTTCTGGAGTTACTCACATGAAATCGGAATACATCAAGTCATTCCACCACCAGCTGCTGTAGAGTTCAGGACAGATCCTCAGCAACAGTGGAATTTCTCATTACATCATTTAATGATGAAGTACTTCTTGTCCTAGAGAGCCTCCAACACTGTTTTAGGGCAGTGTTAGGAGAGGAGAGGGTTTTCACTATCCCGGAAGTGTAAAGGCAAAGATATGACCACTTACAAAAGAGTTTGCCAAGTCATAGAGATGTTTATGACTATCGGCAGCAGAAGCAGAGTCTCTTATGCCTCAGCTTATTTTTAGATAGAAAGGTGTTAACCTAAATCTACCTCTATGTTTTGTCCTTTCCCTTTTTTCTTTTGTTTCTTTTTTTTTTTTAACTTCCCTCTTTTTCCTTATTTTAGCTGTGGTTGTACTTCCATGCCAGGTTGATGTACATTGCAGCATACAGCCTTTCTTTTTTCACGTTTTTTACCTGGTCATTTTGGTTTAATCTGAGGATGTTTTTGTTAATGTTTGTTTCTGTCCTGTAATGTTTCTTTCTGTCCTGTGTAAACTCAGTGTCTTGTATAAATAGATACTTTTGTGGAAAGCCTTAACTGTGTGTAAGGAGCACCCTCTCTGTCACGGGCAGTGTTAAAGCTCTGCCTCAGAACACATTAGAATCATAGAACCTTATGGCTAAAAAAACAAGTGTATAACAGGGTATTTCTGGATCATGCTTGGCTACATTCCATGAGGGAGATTTTTCTTAATTCTGTATCAGCATGTATGAAATATGTTGTCATCCTTTTTGTGAGAAGTCACTAAGGATAAGCAAATTTATGAGGAATTGTCCTCATGGGAAGTATTCACTGTGATTTGTAAACTTAAGAGATTAGTCTGTTGATTTCTGTATGGTGATAGTAATTGCTTTTTGTTGGCACTTCTGGTCAGTGCTGTGGCAAAGATCCCTTGGCTATTTACATAACTGTGGTATCTGAACTTTTCAAAACTGATTCAGAGAGGAAGTAAATGTGACTTCAGCAAAGAAAGTCATCCAGTGTTCCAGATAAAGAAACCCCCCTCCGCTATTGTGGACAAAGCTATTGCTAGGAGGTGGTTGATACTTTACTAGTAACCTCTCCAGGAAATTACAATGAAAAGACATCAAGTTTCAATACATTTTCAAAAATTGTAAAATTGGGATAGTATTTCACTGTAAAATTATGACTAAGCACTTTTAAATTAGCATCTTTTTTTTTTTTCCAGGAAATTTGGAGAGCGACCTCAACCGAAACGGCTCACCAGGTAAGCATCAAAGAAAGTCTGTTTTTAACAGTTTTCTAAAGTTACCCTTTTCATTCTCAGAAGGATTTCTAAGTTTAAAAATTTTGGCTTGCTAATAACACTTTTTAGTGCCAATATTCAGTTGTGTTACTGCTGTCGTGCAGCAGGTAGAAGCAAAATGAACACAGTACTGTCAAGGAATGATCTTAACCAGTTTTTGATGAAACCTGAACAGTCGGAGAAAGCATCAGTTAGTGCCATCAAGTCAGACCATTCTGGAAAGTGTTTAGAGTGATTGAAGTACAGTGCCTGATTTGCTCCTGATCTGCCTGGAGGTATTTACACCAGAATCTGTCAGGTAGTCACCATTGCTGTAACACAGTCTGTGCGAATGTTTATTACTCTGTGCCACGAGCTGTGCCAATCTAAAGTATCCACTAAGTTTATAATCCACTGCCTGCTTGAAGTACGACAGGTGTGCAATTTTTCAATAGTTATGTGTTGTAATAGTGCTGTATGAAGACATCACTCTGGCCTGCTTATATTTTGAATGAAATTATGATGCCTCACGTAAGACTCACGGTAGGGAGGAGCATTTACATTTTGTGTTGGGTATATCTGTCTCATCATGTGTCTGGATAAGCTTCGGCTTAGCTTCTGTATTGTTAAACTTCATTTCAATGCAAAATGTATCTCTACTGACTTACAAGTAATTGAACAAACATTCCTGTTTCCCATTGGCCTACCTATTTTCAGGGATATTTAAGGATACTCAGTTTTAAATAATGAACTGGTGTCTGTCTTCAGCAGTAGCATCTTAGTATCACTGTGAAGTTACTGACAGAATTTATCTTCTATGATTTAAAAAGAACAGCAGAAATAATGACTGTTCAGTGTAAGGTCTTTTATAAGGTTTCTGTAACTGTAGTGACTCTAAATATCATGTGCTGGATTTTAGCTACTGGGTATGCCAGGTACTCTTTCCTGTGAGTAGGCAGCTGGGAACTGCTAGCCATCCTTCAGTGGCTTGTAAACCTTTTCTGTACTGCTAGAGGCTGGAAACAAACAATGCTGAAATGAAAAAACCGTAACACATTTTTAAGAGTATGATTGGTTTACGTAATGCTACAAAAATGTATCTGTAAACCCTTAGAGGTGTTTATTTCAATTATTGGGAAATTATTCTGCCTCTTTGCTAAAGGCAGTCCTGTTTGTCTCATAATCTGTTTATCATCATGCAAGTTCCAGCAGAACAGCACTATTTTGTTCATACTATGCTAGTTGGTTTTAGATGTAAACTGTGAGAGTGCTACATTCGTAGAGAGTTTTAAGATTTAATAAAAGAAAAATGTTGTGTAAGAATTACAATGGTTACATATTTTCTTTATCAGTGGGAGGGGTCCGAGGGGAACATCCCTAGTTCTCTTAGAAGGTTGGATTGTACAAGTCCACTGTAACAACAGACCAGTAGAAAAGGCAGAAATTCATCTTCATACAGTGCTAAATAAACATTAACTAGCACCTAGTGTTTGTGTGCGTGGGTTGCTGGTGGTTTTTTTAAATGATAGTCAAGTCAAAAGATTTTAGTATGACAGATGTTCTTAATTTAGTATGACACTGTTCTTAATAGTATTTTGAATTGTCAGATAACAAGTTTTTAAACCACTTACATGCAACTAATAATGTCATAATGAAATGTATAATAATGATTTCACAGTGAATTATGCATTGTGGTTTAAAATGTATTCTTAAATAGTGGTTGTACATGAAAGTAAGTCTGCATGCTTCAAGATAGCTCTTCCATCTGTGCTTTCACGGATAAACATCGATTTTACCAATGTCAAATACACATAGATCAAATTAGTCCAAATTAAAAACAGAAATTCAAGTCTTTGCTCTTGTATCTTGCTGTTTACAGAGATAATTTCACACACTGGTCACTGTCTTATGCAGACATGACAAATGCAAGAATTTACAAAACATCATTAACAAAGCTCAGTTGTTGTTGTCCAACACCCCCCACCTACTTGCATTCCCCTGGGAAACTGTCTGTGGGGATTTCTTCTGGAAAAGGCCTTGTAAACAAAATACTGCTTCCATCCAAAATATTCCATCTTTTTTTCACTGGAAATGTTTGGTTTTCTGGATCTCTCAAAGAGAACTCAACAGTTGGGTACAGTTTGGAAAAACAAACAGACCCAAAACAAAACAAAAAACCTTAACAACAAAAAAATCCCAAACAAAACAACAACAACAAAAAAAAACACTTTGAGTTTCATCTCTTCATATAACTTCCTTAAAATTCATAATTTGTTTCTCTGATTGATGACTTTGAAGACGAGCACATTGGTGGGCATTCAACCCACAAAAGCTCCTCCAGGGACGTAAAAGTGTTCCCATCAGCACTCCGATACAGCTAAACCTCAGGGTGTTGAATTTGGCATGCTGCTTAATGAACAGTTAGATTATTATACAGAAGAATGATAGGGTGTATTGTTCTCTCACTTCTTTCAAGGAATCACTGTTAGTGTGTTTAAGGTAATTACAGCTTTTATATAATGTCTGTCATTACAGTGATGTTGAATGATAGAAAATCTGATTAATTTTTTTTTTTTTTTTACCCAGTTGTATGCAGGAAGTAGAGGCTTCCTCTGGAAAACCAGATGAAATTATAAGCTGGAGAATCTAACTTTTTTTTTTTTTTTTGCTATCTAAGGTGGTTAAGGAGACAATATTCAATTAATAAACTGTGTTCTAATCAAATATTTGTGGCATGGACTTTAAATGTGTAGTCATTGGCATTGATACAATTTTACATCAGAAGCACCTGTTCTGGAAAATGTAGTACTTGTAAAAATGACCACAGACCCATAATGCTAGCTTCATGCAAGAGAGTTGCTGCTTTTTGCTGTGTAGTTGTCTTAAAAACCAAAGCAAACTCATCTTATTGCTAGTAATGGTTGCCTTTTTTGAACTTCAGGTGTTGGGGTTTTTTGTCCTAAAACTTTCTTTGGATAATTATAAACAAAACAAATTAATTTTCAAAGCTTATTTTGTCTTTTATTTTTTAGGGAAGCAATGCGAAATTACCTGAAGGAGCGAGGTGATCAAACAGTGCTAATACTCCATGCAAAAGTTGCGCAGAAGTCGTATGGAAATGAAAAAAGGTAAGTTTCTATTCTTTCCTGGCTTCCTCTAGAGTTCCCAGCTAGGGAAACTGTATCATGTGGTCTGGTGCGTAGTAGGTGTAGAATTCCTCAGATCATACTATAGCCTGAAGAAGTGTAAGCCAAAATGTGTTCCTGAGGTTATCTGATTATATAACAAAAGCTGCAAACATGTGGCAGTTTTATGTGGTGATGCCTCTACCAACAAGTTCTCTATCTGTGCGTGAAGTTTTTCTTACGTTGAACTAAAATGGCTCTTAATTTTAAATCTTCCATTTTAAGTTTGGAGTAAGCAAGGTGATCAGTGATGACTATTTGTAGAGAAGGTTTTTCTTGAGTAATTTCAAATTAATATGAAAGGAAAATTACCAGCCTCAGTAAGATATTCTTCTGAATCAGATCTGTAATAGCTTTAAAATAGTAACAGGTCAATCATAACCATATTTATGGTTCTTTAACATTTTCTTGTAAAAATAAGTACAGTACAACTTACAATAATAGGTAGTTCTCTAAAGGGCGGAATTTGTAAATGTGAAGATGAATGCTTTTAGGTAAAGGTGAATTTCCTGCAGTCTTCTCTATGTGATATTTTTATTTAATGACTAGTAGAAGCAAATAGGACGGTTCTTCAGCTGCAGATTTCTAGTCCTCATGGTAAAATAGAATTTAAAGTATAAACTCTATTTTTCTGCCTTCAACTTCACTAAAATAAGAAGTGCAGTATTTGTCTAGTTTTCAGGTACTTTTTATTATTAATATTTTTTCATCACAAAAGACCACTATTTAGTACATTAATGGTTTTGAAGTTTTAACCTTACTTTTACACTCATGTCCTGTTACATTGTTAAGTTTTTTCACAGTTTTGTGAGATTTGAGATTTTAGCATACTTAAACATGAAAGTGTTAGAAAACAGGAATGTTAGAATTAAGCCTGCGAAGTTCTCTATTCGTTGCTGCCAATCTAAGTCACACTTCCTGATGTCTGTGAATCATAGACGCAGACTATATTTTCAACTGTTCTTCGGTATTCTGTGCCTGACTACTGTTTTTTAAATATGTGTGGTCCTTTCTGTTAGCCCTTTCTTTTGGGCAGGGAGCTTCTGCAGCTCCATGGAACTGTTAAAGTGCTTTTTAGATCTTTGTGCAATTCTTGATGAGAATCAAATGGGAAGTCAGCAAAACAGGAAGGACGAAAGGCATGGAAGCAGACAAGTGTGCTGCGTATGTGCTCTGTAACTGTACAGCCTTCTTGCTCACTGCCAAATGTAAATGCAAGAGTGTTGCAATGCAAGGCCCTACTAATAGTAAATGATAACTTTAACCCTTTGCAGCCCACAAAATTTATCGTGGCAGTATAGAGGTCTCTGATCGTTATCTTGTCAGATTGTGTTGTCATTGAAGAGTTGAATAGTTGACTCATTACTGCATATGAGTAAAGCATGTTACTCCCAAAAAATGAGGGGTGTGTCTGCAGATAAGACAGTGATTTTCTAAACAGTTTATCTGTAACTTCAGTTGGTTTGTTCTCCAGGGGCTGCAGCAGTTCATGAGGGCAGGGACGTTTTGCAAAGTTGTCCTGTGTATCATTATTTTGAAGAGCAGGTTGCATTGAAAGAAGAGAGAAAATAAAAAGACAAAGTAGTAATTTTGATTATTCAAAGTTCCGTTACAGTTTAGAAAACTTAAATCAGTGTTCTGAAGAACACAGAGCAAAGCTTCAAATTGTTACTTGCTAAAAGTTTCTGAAAGCGCCTATGTGTAATTAGAATTGCCATAAATTCATGTTGCCTTCAATATACATGTATATTTCACTTGATTCTGTTAAAAAACTAGTAATGCTCAATAAACTAGTTATTGGTTTCCCACTTCTTGAAACAATTGCTAACTGACATTAGGCATTCTTTTACCACTTTAGATTTCAGGAGTTCAGTGGCCTATCTCAGCACAGCTGCATTAGTTCATGAAAGGTATCTCAGATTCACCTCTTTAAAAATGGGAGCATGTCAAATGAGTCTAGGGAGTTTCAGAACTAAGTAGATGACTGGGAATGAAATGTTTGGATGTTTGTCATAGTGAACTGATTGCCATTCTGGTAGGGGTGTGAAATGAAAGTTGGGAATACATACTAAGCTTTTGTTATCCTGTTTAAATATTTCAGTTTTTCTTATGCTTTAACACACCATTTAAACTGTCTCTGCTGCAGTTCTGCTAGTTCCCAGATTGTTAGCATCAGTAATGATGGCATGGATATAATCTGGTTAAATTTTGATCCTTGAAGAGTAAGTTAAATTGCACTGTCTTTGTAACTGAGAAGTCACATTACAAAAGGAATTGTTTCTGAAATTTGTCTTAAATTTCTTAAATTTAAATTATTTCTTACATTTAAGTTCTATGTCTTTCAACATAAAACCTAAAAAAAGCCCTAAACAAGCTTCCACCTTTTCTTCTAGTCTTTAACCCTTGTTTGTTGTGAGGTCATGGAAAATATTTATCATTAGTAAATGTTGCATAGCATAATTAAAAGATTAGCACAATAACTACCTTTCAGTGTTCTAGGGAGGCTTAATGGATGGTGAAATAACTCTGTTAAAAACTCAGGGTACATGGCACAGTCTCATGTAGTGTGGTCTGGTATAAATAGACCTTACAGAAACACAATTCCAGGTTGTTGCCGTGTGGATGTAGACTTTCTGGATTAATTTGAGAGTGTTCTTGGTACTTGCCTGTAAATAACAGTAATGAAAGGATGTCCACTTTCTCCAAGTGGACTACTGTTACTAGCCTTGCTCTCCCTCAAGTTAATGTCGTTTAGTCTGACAAAGAAGCCAGGAGGTAAGAAGCTTGGGTGGACTTCAGCTGAGTTTTAGACTTTCTGCCTAATGTTTCCTGTTGGATGGCTGTCATCTTTCAAAAGCATTCAGCTGATACTCAGGTGATGTTTAGTGATGAGTGTGGATGTTTGTCCGGTGCTTCTTACACTATTTCTGTATTTACCTTTCACTGAGACCTCTCTTCAGAGTCTGAAGAGTGTGAACACTCAACATTAAGGTCCTGCTTTGTTTCGCTGCATGTTCAGCACGGAATTGCCACTCTGCTCACAGTATAGAAAAGAGGGATTAAGAGAATAAACCCAGTGAGGAAATTGCATCCTGCATGCTTTTCCAGCATTATTTCTTGTGCTGAATATTTTCAGCAAGCTCAGAAGAACCAGACTCAGCTGCCTTTCCTTCCAATATGATTTTCTTTTTATTATAGGTCAAATTAATACTTCAGAAGAATTTTTACCTCCTACTCAGTCTTATTTTAGTTTTGTGGTGAAAGGAGAGGTAGGCCCTGTAAATCAAAGGTTGAAGGAAGAGTATTTTCATTTGTTCCACTAAACATTGTCGTACTTTATTTCCTATCAGTAATAGTGGAAACTACCTAAATTAGTTATTTTAGGGAGGTGTTTTTCTTATTTGCTTATTGTAGTTATTTGAAAGCCGGCTTCTCACATAAATATTTACATTCCTATTTACATCAGAAATATTAATGAATGAACCTGTTTACAGCAGTCATTTTATACCTATCAAAGGTACTTTCCTTAATCATCTGTGAAAATCAGAAATACTCGTGATTTACTCACGCTATGTTGGATAGGAAAATTATAACTAATTTCTTCTATACATGAGTTTCTGGGTTTGTAAATATAAAGGAAAAAGCCCTTGAGACTGTACTCGCCTATATCTGAAGGTTAGGAGACTGCACGTAAGGAACCCCATCCCAGTTGTGGATGTCCAGACTCTTTCTTGTTTGGTAGTTTAAACCAAACATAAAATTGTCTCAGCTTAAAAAGTTTCCGTCTTTGTTCAGTAAACCATAGTTTTCCAAGGTTTTTGTGTTCTAATTTAAAAAGAGCGCTTTAATTGTTGTGGCTTGTTTTCTTTCAGTGGATTAAACTCGTTTCTCCTGGATCTTCATTGCCACCTAGTGGCCATAGTTATTCAAAGGATTTGGTTTAGGATAAAGCGGTAATGAAAAATTATATGAAAAAGTTTGAGGGTTGTTTTTTTTCTTTTTCCTTCTTTTCCTTCCTTTAACATTAAGAAAAATACAAAAGAGTACATGAGGAAGAAGGGTAAATGTGTGATGTTGGCTTTATGGTGTTATGCCTACTTGGAAGACAAGGGGTATGGATTCTTTTTTGCAAAGTATTGCTCCATTAATAATAGTTGATATTAATTTTTTGCCTGTATATAATTTCTTACTGGAAGTAGCTTATACCTGTTGAGAAGAGAATTAGTGGGATGCATCTATTAACACTGAAAGGATCTTGCGTTGTCACTGGAGTTCACAAGCTGACTAGCTATATGATGTGCTTTTTCTGGCAATATGAGTTTGTTTCCAAAAGATCTTTTACTTGAAACTTCCTCCCCAAATAGTTGGGAGTTTGTTCATAACCCCCGTTTAAAAAGTATTATTCACAGAGGACCACCATCATGTTTCCCCTATCTGGGACAGCAAAGTAGAATAGGCCCCCTAAGCAGTGCTTGGGCATGATCACTGCCCTTGCTTGACCCCTTACCAGTCTAATAAACATGTGATTACTTCTTACACTCTTGCTTGCTTCCCACCTGCACATATATATATATATCTATCTATATCTGTGTATTTTTTCAAATGTGATCACAGGTGTCAGCAGTAGACATTTTCTGAGTCTGATGCTAAAGCAGTTATTTCTTGCTTTGTTTCAGTTTTCTCCTAAAACATGCTGAAACTTGCAGCAAGTGACTGCAGGTGACAAGTATGGTATTTACATCTGGGTGCTGCAGGGTGATAAAGAGCATATAGATTAAATTGGTCCTGTAGAAAGTAACATGCACCTTGTACCTTAATATGAATCTTTTCTTCTTGACCATTGTCGTTGCACTGTCTCCCTCACCAATAAGTGCTCTTAAGATAATTTTTCCTTTGGAGAAGCATTGGGGAAAATTGGGTCATGTCATCTCTGTTTGAAATAATGCAGTTGAAAAGTAGGAAATGCATTCTTGTTTTTGAGATCAAAAAATTGTAGTAGGAAGGGGAGGATTTAATTGACACAGACCAGGAAGTCATGTTATGCTTAAATATACTCCTGCTCAATCATTCAGCATCTTCATGAGGAAAGCTGGAACACAGAGGTCAGGTAGTGGAAGATGAGATGCAAAAGGCGTAATAGTAAGCAAGAAAGGAATATACCATGTGTGCTGTTTCACAGCATATATTACTGCTTACTCCTTCTGTTCATTTCCATTTTAAAATTTCAGAACTTTATTCTTACTGCAATGAAAGTTAAAACAACCCCTTACTGCAGAGTAATTGAAAGAGCCTGATCACCTGTGCCTTGGTGAAAGGCTCCACATTGGGCTGTTGCTGCCCCAGGGAGGTGCCTCTGATCATGATAGGTTGAGGGGTAATGGTTTTAAACTAAAAGAGGGGAGATTCAGGCTGGATGTGAGGAAGAAATTTTTTACAGTGAGGGTGATGAAACCCTGACACAGGTTGCCCAGGGAGCCGGTAGATGCCTCATCCCTTCAGATGCTCAAGGCCAGGCTGGATGTGGTTCTGAGCAACCTGATCTAGTTGAAGATATCCCTGCTCACTGCAGGGGGTTGGACTAGATGACCATTGAAGATCCCTTCCAACCCAAACTGTTCCATGATTCTATGAAGATGTAACATGTATTCCATTTAAAGACTGCAAAGAGATTTATGCTCCCTCCTTGCTAATGATGAAACACCAAGTGTTTAGGAATTGTAGTCAGCAGTTGTCCATTAAATTAGTTTGTGGAATTGTTCTGTGTGAATCATGTTACGCACCTATAAAAGCAAAACACTGTCATCACTTTCAACTTTTTACTTTCTTTTGGAATTTCTTCTTTCTAAGGGTAGAAATTGCTGATAGAAATGCAGAATGTTACATTGCATATATTGAACTGGAAAGATACTCAGTAACTGCATCTCGTGCTGATTGTCTTTGCTTTTTTTTTTTAATTTTATTTGTGTTTTAGAGAATCTTCAAGCAAACTAAAGACATGTATGTATAAACTCAAATGGAATGGGTAACTGGGCTGAGAAAGCTTTGGGTAGACAACAGTGTTGGTCTCAAGAATTTTCTTGACAGCTGTGTGTAATCTTATAACGTGCTCTTAATTTTCAGGTTCTTTTGTCCTCCTCCATGTGTGTATCTTATGGGCAGTGGATGGAAGAAAAAAAAAGAGCAAATGGAACGGGATGGTTGCACTGAGCAAGAGTCACAACCTTGCGCCTTCATTGGAATAGGAAACAGTGACCAAGAAATGCAACAGCTGAACTTGGAAGGAAAGGTAGAAGAAACGTAATAAACCACTCAGATTACTGCAAAAGATATTGTAGCTATATGGTGCATATTTCTAGGAATACTTTTGCTTGTTTTTGACAACTTTGTACACAGTAGCAGCTACTACATAAGTGGTTTAAAAAAAAATCTGTCAAAAATCTGTAGAACAATTGATTAGGTGGATTTGGTTCATGGGATCATAGCAGGGTACTAACCTTTAACATGTAGGTTGTTGATTCAGAGTCAGTAAACTGTTAATTATTTGGTAGGCATCAGTGATTAACTGAAGTAAGGTTTTTGGCCTAAACTCTTGTGTGCTTCTCTCTGCTTAAGTGAATGGATAATCTTAGCAAAGAAGTATTTGAACACCATCTGCTGCCAGAAGTGATCTTTAAGTTGCTTTGCATAAAAATACAATTCCAATGACATCTTAATAAATTTAGTAAGATTGGTTTGGTTTTTTTTTTTCAGTGATATAAATTACTATAAAAAAAATTACGGTATTTGTGATGACTTAAACAGTTGGAATAGAACTGGGGACATGTTAATGCTCATTTTAGCTGGCTGTTTTGTTAAGCAGTATTTTATAGCTAGTATTTCCAGCCCGGTCTACTTAGAAATGCTTCATATGTTGCTGAATAGGGAAAATAATAAAAATTCTTTTTGAGATTCTTTTTTTTTTTTTTTTGAAGCTCCTGGTGTCAGCTAGCATATAGCACCTAGCCACCTTTCACATTTCAAACCGCAGTCATCTCCCAGCCTTTCAAGAAAAAATTGGCTGAACACTTCTTCTGCAAAGGCAGCCTCTTGTGCGTGCCCAGTGCACTAACTGTATAGCTCTATGATAGCTCTACTCAAATGTAATTTTTAGTAGTGCTCTTAATCAGAGATGGATTTGACACAGCTGTAGTATCTAATCATCTGGTTTCTAGCTCTGATAAGGGTCTTTAGGAAAAGGCACTAAAGTTGGGTGCTAAACTTCACAAAGCTAAACAGTAGTCATAAAAGATACCCATATTGAAGAGATGAAAAAAACAGTTTCTGATCTAGTTTAGAAACTATTGCATCAGTTTTGCTATTTTGTTCATAATTAAATATATGTAGTTTCTTAAACTGGGGTGACTTGAAAAAACAACAGTATGTTTTCACCTACAGAATTATTGCACTGCCAAAACATTATACATATCAGACTCAGACAAGAGAAAGCACTTCATGTTATCAGTAAAAATGTTCTATGGCAATAGTGACGACATCGGTGTGTTCCTTAGTAAACGGATCAAAGTCATCTCCAAACCTTCTAAAAAGAAACAGTCACTGAAAAATGCAGACTGTAAGTATTTTACACTTCTTTATGTAGCAGTTCATTTTGCCTCCTGCTGATTTTTTTCTTAGGTGTTCTTATGACTACAAAGTAAATACAATTTTCAATTTCTGTTTTTCTGATGTATTTCAGACTACACTGAGTTTTATGTGGTCACAGTTAATTATTTAGTAAATATGAAAGGTCACCAAAAAACCTATTCTTAGGAGTGAATCCTTGTAGACAAATGCATAAAGAATAATGCTCTGCCTTAGCTTTCTAAGCTGTTAGATCTCTTAAGCTGCCTGATGTGGTACTTAGGATGGTCTGATCAGCTTCAAAGAGATAGCTTTCAGATTGTAATAAATGAATAGCATCACATTAGCCAAACTGCACTTCATCACAGCCACCTTCTTACTATATCATGCCATTTGCGTGTTGGTTTTATTTTTAATATGTTTTGCATGGTTCCTTTTATGTAATTGGTCAAGAGAAAATCTGGTGATATTTCACCCAGGTTTATTTGCTTACTGTGTTTTTTCAAGTAAAGGTATCTCTGGTGCTAATGTATAACTGGGAGCAATTTTGCTTTTCCCTCAGAGTTTTTGCCTCCATGCCACTGGAGCACCTCAAGAGATACCCCCCTTTTTTTTTCTTTTTTTTTTTTTTTGTTTGTTTTTCTCTCTCTCTCTCTCTTCACTAGTGCTTTAAAAGGCTCTTCCATCTGTGTTGGGCTGGAACCCATTTCACCTATGGAATGTGGATCTCGGGGCGCTAGCTTGCCACATGACTAAAGGCAATCTGTTGCTGTGCAGTTCACGCCCGTGGGTTCAGAGTATGCACTGTTGTCTTTGTGTTCAGACAGATGGTTTTGATGGACAGTGAATATGAACCAAGCATTCTTTGATAGTACATATTAACCAAGTACAAGAAACATGCCTGTTTAATAGCGAAATGCTAGTTGCAGATTTTTTCAGGGGAGCAGATTTAGCATTTCTCTCTTGAATGATAAATTCAGCTATGAGAAAATGTCAAGTTGCATGGTTATTACAATATTACATAGTTATGTCTGTCTTCCTTTCAATTGATTGTGATTTCTATGAATAATTTCTTTATGCTTCATATATACTCTGAATGATCACTGAAAGTTGAGTACTTCACAAGGGCAAGTTAAAGCTTAAGCTCAAATAATAAGTTGTTGGAGAACTAGGAAAAGGAGGAGTTTTCAGCTGGCAAGCACTGGCCTGTTTGGCTAAGTGACAAAATTCTGCGAACTAGCATGCGTTTGGAGAACAGCCCACTGTATGTTCCCCACCTGTAATTTTGTGTTTATTTTTGATCTGTCACGAATATAAATATTTTCTACATTTACCTATGGTTGTGAAGTATTTCTTAATTTCATCAGTTTATTTTACTGTATTTGTGAGGTTTTGTTACTTTTCTATATAATAATGAAGTAATTTTATAATCTAAAGTCTGTATGTGTTCCTTGCAGTATGTATTGCGTCAGGGACAAAAGTGGCACTATTTAATAGACTTCGATCCCAAACAGTTAGCACCAGATATTTGCACGTAGAAGGTGGTAATTTCCATGCCAGTTCACAGCAATGGGGAGCATTTTACATTCACCTCTGTAAGTAAAAATGAAGCAATATATATTTTCACCTCCCTCCCTCCCTCCCCACAAATAAAGGTTCTGCATTTTTTTCGTGCATATTAATTGCTCATGTGTGGATTTGGTTTGTTAATGACTGTATATTTGATGTAATAGTGGGATGTTAAATGTTCCTCCTATTGGGGTAAACAGTGGATAAAAAAATAATGTAAAAATTCCTGTTTCATGCAGTGGATGATGATGAATCAGAAGGAGAAGAATTCACAGTGAGAGATGGCTACATACATTATGGGCAGACCGTCAAACTTGTATGCTCAGTCACTGGCATGGCACTCCCAAGACTGGTACAGTTTAATTTCTCCAGTGGTGTAATTAATCTGTAGATTGCATAGTGTGTGTAATTGCATAGTTGGGCTTGTGTTGTTTACAATATTTGGCTTTATTTTTCCTTTTAGTAATATGTTTTATATGGAAAATGGCATTCAATTTAATGAAAGTGTATTTTTGTATCTGCAGATTAATTCTGTAAGCAAAGAACAGCTTGTAACATAAGTGTAGGGAACTTCTCAGAATTCAAACCTGCCAAACTAGGTTAATCTGCAAGCTGTCCTTAAGAATATGTCTATTTTAAAACAGTAATGTAGGCACCAGTGTAGCAAAATAGTTTAAATATTGATATAAAATAGCTGAGTAAAGTCTTTGCAGCCAGCAGCCCTATTCCATTTGTTGAGTTCAGCACAGCTTTAAAAATGTTCTTCCAACTTGAATCTGAAACCACTTCTGTGTACTTCTAAGGATATATAATGATATCAATATCAGCTTGCAAAAGCATTTTGGACATTTATTAATACTGTCTGTTTTAAATATGGAACATTGTAAATGCCTTTGTAATTACTTTTTTTAGAAAGAGGCAATTTCAGCCTTTGTCACAGACACAAAATTTATTATAACCAGTTATGGTTTGTGAACAAAACAAATTATTGCTGTAATGGTTTTTATAAATAAATTTAAGTATAATTACAGATTTATTTTTTACCTCCTGTTTTATGCACTCAATGTCAGCCTAAGTGGAATTTTATGTGACTGATAATGAACAATGCTTCATATGCAGTCCTCTGTGAAACTGTGGTTTGCAAGCCCATTATGAACTTCATACGAGGCTTTGCTAATTCCACTTTAAACTAGAAACAATTTTTAGATGTGCCAACGTAAAACCAGCCTTCCTTGCAGACAGGTTTTTGTTCCCCTTTCCAGACTTATTTTACTAGGACTGTATACAAAATTCTCTCCTAATGTCAAACTTAGCAAAAAAAAAAAAAAAAGAAGAGTAAAACTGCCCAGAGTAAGTAGTATAAGATGGTCACTTGAATAGTTGTTTTATTGATCACATTATTTGGCAGAAAAATTCAGACCTGGTTACTATTGATCTGGTTCAGTGCACATGACACTTGCTAAGAGGACCTCACTTTATCTGTGGGCTTCATGATAATATTTTCTTATTGTGAAAGGAGATGCCATCATTTATGATTCCAGAAACCTTATTTTTAGGTAGAAATAGATTAAAACAAATTAGGCTAAAGGTTCCTGTTTTGTTTGCTATTGGGAACATTCGTCTTGCTGCTTTTCAAGATTGATTGAAGGTAATGTGATTAAAAGCTAACTTGCAGACGTTTTATAGGTTAATGCAAAGAACTTTGAAGAAACAAGTTAACCTTGAAACTTATATTCCTAATAATGCCACTTATTATCATTAGAAATTCCAGAGGACATGATTGGCTTTCTGATTGTCAGCTTAGAAATCTTCAAGCACTTTGGCTGCTGCTTTTGCTGATGATGCATAAAATGAAGTATTAAACTTTTTTCTAGAAGTTGAGTTTAAATTCCAAGCTACAGACTTCCACTGTCTGTAAGGAATAACCTTTTTAATTTTTAAGAATAAATTAGTGTAACAGCTCTGAATTAAGTCAGCAGCTACTTTTTCACTGAACTGTCAGATGTGAGGAACAGTTGTTCTTTGCAGTTGTCTTGAAGTAATATTTAATGAACACCTATTGTTAAGATACACTATGATTGTTACGTTTGCAAGACTGTACTTAAGGACACTTCAATACCTGCAGAGTAAATATTTATTTTCAACTGTTCTCATTCAGCAACCAGTCTGCCACAGAATGTTGTGGATGCTATCAATGATGGAAGATTCTGTAGAAGTCTGTTAATACTTGACCTACTGCTTGTTTGTACCATGAAATGGAGCAAAAGTAGATTTTGCTGAAGCATCAAGTTTTTTCCCTACTCTTACTCAAAAAAAGATAAAATATATATGCATGCAGCACACTGAAGATGTAGTACTGAGTGTCACTTCAATGTTGTATTCTTACTTCCAAAGCATTGAGAATTATGAATCTAATGTTGGTACTAAAACAGGAGGCATGGAAAATTAAAAAAAAAAAAAAAAAAACAAAAAACAAAAACCTTTTACTAACACTACATATGTAATCTCTAATGTAATGAAGTGCAGAAATTGACCTAAATATATATGTATAATTTTCCTTCACAGATAATTCGAAAAGTAGATAAACAAACAGCGTTATTGGATGCAGATGATCCAGTATCACAGCTCCATAAATGTGCATTTTACCTTAAAGACACTGAGAGAATGTATTTGTGCCTTTCCCAGGAGAGAATAATCCAATTTCAAGTGAGTTGTTTAAAATGGGGTTGAGCTTGGAAAGATCTGTAGTTCCTACCCTTGTTCCGCATTTCTCTTGCAAGCTGTTTTCAGTGCTTTTTTTTGCATGATCATAGCAAAATGAAGAGTCCACATGAGAATGCAGCTTTGATCTTTAACTTCTTTTCATCTAAACTGGTAAATTTGTGCTAGTCGAAGTTTATCTGACATTTTGAAGAGTGAAGGTTATGGTTACATATGTAGATATCCTTAAAGCTTAATGAAAGAAAACAGAATTTAGGTGTTAAAATTAGAATTTTTGAGTCCCTTTTTTTTTTCTGTACCTGTGTTTAACCTGTACATAATTTTCTTGCTGGTTGCTAGATGATGGAATTAGTCAGAAAGGTGTTTGTTGCTATAAAAAATAGTTGTCAGTGTATTTTCTGTGTATGCATGTATACTAATTTAGTACTATTTACAGTGAGACAGTGAAAGTTTGACTAATTTGCAAGGTTGTCAGTTCAGCCTCTCTCCCATGTCTGCACAAACACTGAAATATGAATCTATGATTCTGTAAGCTTGTGTTTTCTATCATTTTGTGGATATTGAAGAGCTCTCTAAAGAGAAAAACAAAATCTTGGCCTTATGTAAATCATAACTAACTGAAACTTACTAGGCTTGGATTCTGTAGGTGTTTAGTCACTGCATTATTAAAGCAAGCTCTATTTTAAATAGCTGCTTGTAGTTGGTATAGGTTGTTGGTTATTGGCTGTTGAATAATGTTAAAACTATGAAAGCTGAACTGAAATAAAACCCAATAATAAACAGAAGGTTGGAAACGTGACAGTATCGCAGGTGAGAGTTACAGTGTTCTCACAAGCCTTAGTTTTCTATTACTTTTGCTGAAATGTATGTCACTGTTTCTTCAGGTCACTTTGTTGCAAGAAATATATAAGGAAACATGTTTTTGGAATAGACAGTTACTGGCTGAGTTGGTTTTTAGCTCTGTGACTTGGCAAATGAGTCTACAGGTCAGATTGAAAACTTTTCTTTCTTTTTAAGGCCACTCCATGCCCAAAAGAACCAAATAAAGAAATGATTAATGACGGAGCTTCTTGGACAATCATTAGCACAGATAAAGCAGAATACACATTTTATGAGGGGATGGGACCGGTCCATGCTCCTGTGACACCTGTGCCTGTTGTAGAAAGTCTTCAGGTAAGTTGGTTGGTTTGTTTTTTTTGGTTTGGTTTTTTTTTTTTTTTAATAAGAGATTATTATAAAAATAATGTGAGATTATTTTTGTCATGCAGATTTAACCTTCATGGTACCATTGTGGAATACTGTAGGAAAGCATTCTTACTTGCCTTATACATAGGAGACTTACTTTATGTTGCAACAAGTTTTCTTACCTACATTTCAGAACACATGAGCTTGTCTATCATAGGAATAATATTAATATTGTTCTATATGTTAAGTATTTTATTTCTTAGAGTACTTTGGTAGTAATATCTTTAGGACTTCTATTTTTGTTTGATTATTTAGAAATTGATTTTGGCTCTTCAACCAACCAACTATAGATCAGAAAGAGGCAGACAGATACCTTGTTAAGAAAATCAGCATTCTGCTGTGGAAAAACTTGAAGCTCTCCTAACACGTTCTCCGAAAGGTTCTTTGTTCTTTGTTTTCAAAGTCTTATTGACTCCTGTTCTGAGTAGCCACTATTAAAACTTGTAAGCTCTTTCAGGATATCAAATTAATTGGCAGTATCCTTTAGATGTGACACTTCTTTTACAGTTCAGTTGTATAGGTATTTCTTTCAGTTTTATCCAGCTGATAAAAAACGGCACTGTTTACAGCTCTTATATGCCTGTGAAGAATTTTTCTTGTTTTGGTTTTCTTCCTCAGAAGGGGGTGTATATTTTTATTAATACTTTTTTTACAGTGGATTTTCTTCTTTTTTCTATTCAATTCCTTTCCAGTTGAATGGTGGTGGGGACGTAGCAATGTTGGAACTTACAGGACAGAACTTCACTCCAAATTTACGTGTCTGGTTTGGGGATGTGGAAGCAGAAACCATGTACAGGTACAGTATTTTCTACTACTTTTATGGTGACTGCATTTTACTGGATGCTTTGAAGAACACATATTCACATGTACACACTGAAGTGTATATTTTGGGCCCTGTAGAGAGAGATCTGAGAGTGCTGGTTGACAGCAGGCTCAATATGAGTCAGCAGTGTGCCCTCGCAGCCAAGAGGGCAAATGCATCCAGCTGGTCAGAAGAGGTGATTAGTCCACTGTATTTAGCATTGGTGCGGCCTCACCTTGGGCACCATGTGGAGTCCTTGGCCCCACAGTTTAAGAAGGATATGGAGGTAATTAAATGTGTGCAGAGGAGGGCAACAAAGCTGGTAGGATGTAGGCTGGAGGGAATGTCCTGTGAGGAGCAGGTAAGGACTCTGGGCTTGTCTAGTTTGGTGAAAAGAAGGCTGAGGGGTGACCTCCTTTCTCTCTATAGCTTCCTGAGGAGGGAAGGTGGAGAAGGAAGTGCTGAGCTCTTCTCCCTGGTATCGTGTGCCAGAATGCATGGGAACAGTTCAAAGCTGTGTCAGATGGGGTTTAGACTGGACTTTAGGGAACATTACTGAGAAGGCAGTCAAACACTGGAACACGCTTCCTAGAGAGGTGATTGGTTCCCCAAACCTGTCAGCATCTGAGGCATTTGAAAAACACTGTTAATAATATGCTGTAACTTTTGGTCAGCTCTGAAGCGGTCACCCATCCAGCTGTACTATTCTGATCTGTTCTCTAAGTTTTATTGTGCTCAGTTGACTCTCTTGTTTTCCAGGTGTGCAGAGAGTATGCTGTGTGTTGTTCCAGACATTTCTGCATTTCGAGAGGGCTGGAGGTGGGTCCGTCAGCCAGTCCAGGTTCCAGTAACTTTGGTCCGTAACGATGGCATAATTTACTCCACCAGCCTTACCTTTACGTACACACCAGAACCAGGGCCACGACCACACTGCAGTGCTGCTGGAGCAATCCTCAGAGCCAACTCAAGCCTCATGGCTTCCAGTGAAACAAATACAAACAGCGAGGGAAGTTACACAAATGTCAGCACAAATCCAACCAATGTCACATCATCTACAGCAACTGTAGTTTCCTAACTACTGTAGTTTGTCTGGACTTTAACTGACTTTTGAGTGCTACATTCAAGAGAACTGAACAATTTTTGTGGTTTCATGGGAAAACACCTTTCCATTTTAGGTGATGTTATTTGAACCTTGTTACCTGCAAGTGCTGATCTTAAATACAGAAGCCACAATAAAAAAAAAAAAAAACAACCACCACCACCACCACCGGAAACATAAGAACTTTATTGAAAATCTATTTTTCAGCTGTTTTTTTTTAATGGGCAAGAAACAAAAAATGTGGCTGGGATACATGTTGAGCAAACTAGAAAACATGAACACAACATAGTTTTTATGGACCAAGGAACTTGTATAAGCTTTAGTATAAAAGGTACATTTTCACCATACCTTTTTTGTATCACAACATATAGTACACTTTTGTTACCAAATAGTTTATATTTTTTTTTCCTCTGAGCTTTTGCTCTGAAGTATATTCAGGTTCCAAGCCTGACCATGCTTGTATAATCTAATTACCATACTCTTCCAGTTTTAAAAAAAATATATATATTTTTGGTCTGTGGCTGGAACTGTTCCTTTTTTTAAACTGAAGTCTTGTGACTTTTTATGAACTGAAATTGTTTTTTATTTCAGCAAGTAGAACCTTGTAAAGGCCAGCATATTTTTTTTAAGATTATATGAAGTCTGTGCAAAAGCTTTAAAAAATGCCTCTGCCTTGCCTGCAATACATGCAATGTATGTTAACTTTAGTGCTCTGTTTTCAGTCATTGTTAATAGTTATTTCTGTTTTCCTTTTTTAAATACGTATTTATAGTGATAATTCATGAGGTTCTAACATTACGTGAGTTTTTTTAAAAGTGGCATCTCAAGCAGTCATATTAATGATTGTTCATGTCACAGGCATACGTTGGTGTTTTTGAAGAGTTGTTACTGGGTTACACCCCCCTCTTCCTTGCTCAGTCATAGTACATCTGAAAATGTTTCAGGATCTGTTCAGGTTTTTCTAATCTTGTACATAATTTGTATTAAGTGTAAGTTAAATGTTTTATTTCAAAAGTGGAATGTTCCCAATAACTTCATTTGGCAGCATGTCTTCTGTCTTGTTGGCATGTAACTAAAGTACCATGAGAAATATGTGCTACAAATGGGATCGGTAGGTGATGCCCTTCATCATTTGAGAATCACAACAAGCATGTTTTTCTTCATACTGTTCAGTAAATTAGGCCAGACTTTGGTGTAACACTTGTATTGAGAACGTGCTTTCATTGTGAAGTGATCATACCATAATAACTAGAAGTAAATTTTATTACTTAGAAATGGGCAAATAGAAAACCATAAAAGCACTATGAAGATGTTAACTCCCTCCATCCTTATTTCCTGTGGGTTTCTCTTTCCCTGCCAACAGCTTATGCAGCATTCAAGTCTTCTCTCCATCATAAATTCAAGGCTCATTTGCACTTTGACTTTGTTGGTTGTTGCATTTGTTTTTCATTTTGACTTTGCCATGTTTTTGTCCCTCCTTGTAGACCTGCCTGCCTCATTTGTATTTGAAAGTATACCCCAGTAGTTCCTTTGTAGTCACAGAACTAGGCATAGACTCTTAGGACAAGTTCTGATAGTGTGATCTTCCTTTTTAAAAGCCAAAATACAAATTTTGTGCTGTGTTCAGCCTTTTCCATACTCTGAAGCAAGAGTCACAACTGCTGTGTAAATGTGAACCTGTGGCTTCCTACAGTGTGTTGCTTACAAGCTTATCTGTTGACCGTTTTCATAGGGTTTTTATTTCTGACCACTTATTCCAATTTCAACACCCACCACCATTTTAAAGCATTGTCTCTGCGCCATATTTGTGTACTCTGTGCTCCGTTCTACTTGTTTGCTTTAGTGCTCTGTTGTATATGTGAAACAATGTGGTTAAAGGAAGAAATTGATTATAAAGCGTATTTAGCTAATAGTAAAATCGGTGCCACTGTCCTTTGAAAATGTGCTTGTATTCTACCACAGGCCTTCATATTTGGTATTCTGTATGACAAAATTTCTTCCCATGACGTAGTCGCAATGCTGGTTCTTAGCACTAGTGAATACTGCCTCACCTCATCTCCGCTTCAGTGACCAAGGGCAGAATTCATTGTGGCCTTATCTCTGTTTTAAACTGTTTACTGGCATTTACTTGCAAATCTGTTTACCTTTGTGAGTGCTATAAAACTTTGTTTTAATTGTGTTGTAGCAGGAATCATTTCACAGTGTTTTTGTTAGAAGCACAGAAGTATCTTACAATACGGCTTAATTCAAGAGCCACAGATTTTCATCACCAGTTAGACTGAGAATTAAAATAAGTGATAAATGTATATCAGATTCAGAGGGTATTCAAGAAGAAACCGCAATATACACATGGTAGACAAACCATAACAAGCCTTTTAACCTTCAAAGACTATTTAAAATGCTTTTCAGAACTTGACACGTGCTTTTATACTCATTATTTTAAAATTTTTACATATAAATGCAATACTTTTTATATTCAGTTTCTGTACTTACAGTAATTTTGCCCAGTAGATGCAATATTCCTTGACTTGTAAAGAACCTAATGACTTAGCCTAATATTTGGTGTTCTACACACTACAGCGAAGTGGGTGAAAAAAAAGAGACTATTGAAGTTCTGCTTACAGGATCATTTTAAACCCCATTTTACCCGTGGGCTTGTGGCTCTGTTGTTGCCAGTAGTTATTCAGTAGTACAGAAATGGTCTTCCAGGTCTTTACTGTCGTTAAGATGTCTGGTAGTTCAGATATATTATCTTCCTGAACTTTTTCCTGTGGGGTGATATTGTTACATTTATTGGCCTTGTGAGCTGTTAATCAATTTTCATGCTATTAACAATATCTCAAGATTTTGATAAAACTACGTTTAGAATGTTTCAGTATGAAACTATTATAACTGTTCAAGTCTAGCTGTGTTAAGTCTGCTGTTAATTCTGTATACATAGAAATTGAGTCTGTGTTCAGAATGTTGTTTAGTTCCAACTATAGGAAGAAAAAGCATAAAAAGCATATTAAGTGCTCAAATTTAGCAATGCCTTTTTCTTACTTTCTTTTGTTTGGAACTGCATTTCAGAATTCAACACTAGCATAGTCTTTAATAAACTGCTGCTGCTGTTTTTCCTAATTATTTGCCCGAGGGCATCCCACAACTGTGTAATAATGGTATTCTGTACTTCTTTTCATTGCACAGACTTGTAAGATCAGAATGGTTACCTGAAAAGACATGAACTCAAGACATAAATCAGAGAATTCCCCATATACAAAATCTTAATGCCAAGTGAAGCAAATTATCTATTGGAAGTAAGCTACCCACTTGTTGATTGAATGACTCCATTGAATGACTCCATCTTGAAACTAAGATGCTCTTCAATTATTAACCATATTATTTACTTCCTTTCAAAAGCAGCTGTGTTTATGAGTACTGAACAAATGTGTATACTTTCCTGTGCCAGACTTTTGACTTTGTTTTCAAGCACTGTACTGTGGGATTGAGTGGCAGCTTTGTTAGAAAAAGAAGTATATTAGGGTTTCTACTTAACCCTTTTAGGACTGAACGACTTCTTCCCTTTAGATGCTGTAAATTAAATGAGCAGTTCTAACTTTGTAAACATGCCGTGTTCAGCACCGCATTTGCCGCATCTGGAGGTGCTATGCTAATGACTTATTTCTAAATCCTGTAGCATGTGTATACATTCAGTCTTAAAAGGGTTATTTTTACAAACTGTGCACCTGTAAAGTTTCTTAGCAATAAGGTAGAAAAATGAGCAAGTTTTTACCATAATTTTGTAGAATTAATTGCTCAGTTCCATATTTCATCAAGAAAAACCCTGCAATATGGGCAGTTTTGAGGATTAAATAAAAGTGAAATGTAAACCACATAAGTGTTTTTGTCAAGTGTACTCTGTGTGTGTGTATGTGCATATAGTATTGGATTTCATTTTTTTTCCCTAAAGAGAAAATGCCATGTTACTGTTGATGTGAAAAATGTAATTGAACATCTGTATAGTGATTTAAAAGTAGATATGATTTGATCAGGTGTTGAAGCTTGCCACATTTTTGTGGATTTTTTCAATGTTAACCAAGGAATATGGTTTTTATTTTCTTATTTGAACAAACAGTGAGGCCATCTATGGAGCCAGAGCACCACAAAAGAAAACCAAGCCAGGAGTGGAAAAGTCATCACTAGTTTTGAGGCTATGCACACTGGACTCCACTTAAACGAGATATGGAATGTCCACCCAAAAATCTAAATCGGTTTCGTTATTGCTTGTATTATTACTGGAGTTAGATAAGAAACCATTTATTTCCATAATGTAACAACAACAACAAAAAAAAAACACAACAAAAAAACAACTGAAAGCCGAAACCAAACCAATAACTGGTTCACTTTTTTGTTATTTATTAAGTAAGGAAAAAACCACCAAACTCTTTAATTGTTTAGCTACTTTATCATTGTAACTAGTATACCTGACTTGTTTTCATCCTTAGCTGCAGGCTGTCTGTTATTTATTTCAGTTGGCTAATAATTAGAAGTAGAAAATTAGCAAGCTAGTTTGTTTCTTTCTTTGACAGAATACTCTAATAGGCCCATAAGGAGCTTGAAATTATGCACTCTTTTAGTTTGTAAGCACAGGTGACGCAGTCACTTGAAAAAAGTTTCTGAGATGGGATGTGGACACAGAGAGAATCTGGAATGACAGAAAACCTACCAGTACTAGTTTTGTGTGAAACTAATCCAAAAATCACTGGTTTATCCATAAGACTGTGAAGGGACCAGAAGTGGTTGTTAAGAAAGTGTGGTGAGAGCAAGAGAGGTGTCTTTGGAATACATAGATCATTTGACTAAAAGAAGCATATTTTATTGAGGCATCTGCAGAGGTGAATGCCATTGTTATTAGGACACATAACGTAGCCGTAAACAAAACTCTCGTAGAGCTTCTGCTGTTTGAAACAGGGACAGTATGAGCAGATTACTTCTTAAAATTATTTTGCAAGGACTCTTGCAGTCTGTTTCAGGAATGATAAATTGATTCTTCTAGAACAAAATGGGAATTGGATCTGAGGTTTTGGCAGACAGAATGGTCAATTGCTAAACTTTAGTGTTGGTACATAAGAAACTACATGGGATGGTGCTGGTCTTAGGTGAAGAACTATGGATAGAAAAAAATCTCTTAATCTTAACCTTGGCATTTAGCTGTGTAAACAGACTCGATAATAAATACTGTTAAAATCCAGAGTAGAGGATTAAAAGGAGAATGGTGTGAAATTATTTGGCTACGGGAGAGGATTCATTTGGAGCATTACATGCGATATATGCTATTTCACGAGCATTCAGAATTACAGAACTGGAACAGGTAGTTTACATTTCTCAGTGCCCTGTGTAGATTGGAGTTGCTCTGATTATGAGAAGGATAGAAACGACCTGTATGTGCTCAGTTAGTGTGTCCATAAAGGATATTTAGTTCTGATGCCCAGGAGCACATTCTTAGTGTGAGGCCAAAAGCATTGAGAATTAGCTGGTATTACTTATTTTCTCAAGTATTTTATCAATTTTTTTGTATTGAATATTAGCATTAATTATGTATGCTAAAGATAAGTTGAGGAAGTCTTCAGCAAACTTGCAAGCTAACTGCTGTCAGAACAAGATCTGATAAAGCCGCCTGAATTTTCACAGCTTTCAGATCCTGCGTCATCTTCAAGTAAGGAAAACGATGGTTAAAAGCTTGCTGTCGCCTTTTCCGTGTGCTATTGCCTTTGTATTCTTGTCTCAGTTCCCTTACTTTTCATGTAAGGGAACTTTTCCAGATCCTTAATTAGTTTCTAGTTTTTCTCTGAATGTGTAAATTTTGCTGCATAATTTAGGAGAACTGAGTTGGTGTTAGCTAAGGTGAGCTATTAACTTGTGAGACTAAATGCTGTCATCTCTGATGTTTCTGCTGTTGTGCTGTGGGATGGGGGAGAAAGAAATGTTCGTTGTTTTTTAGGCTGATTGTAGATAAGTTGAATGGAAGTTTCTGCAGACCTGGCCTTAGTGATCTGCAGGTCTTCATCTGAAGATGACACATGTAATTTGGAACTATACAAAGGAGTCTTCATCTGAATGTAGAAATTCTTTGCTTATTACTCACCTTTTAATTATATTTCTTGTCATGTTGCCCCATCACCTGTGTTCATTAAAACCTTAAAATCATCTCCGCTTTTAACTAAAATACCATTGTTCTACTTGCCAATTTGTTCATTGGGAAATTTGGCCTTTTTCACATCTGCAAATTCCCACAGGCATGTTTCTCAAGCAAGATGGGACCTTTTACCATTTGAGCTAATTCTGTGCCCTGCCTCCATCTCTTACTTTCTACTTCAGCTTCTCCTGAGTGACTTGACTTTGAGGCCTTTGACATACAAATAAATAATAGCAGCTGCATTCATTTGTTCATTGCTATACCCATACTTTAAGATATTTATAATAAATTGTTCTTCATTGGCTATCCTGTACAGAAGGAAGGATTTCATTACAGAAACCACAGCCTTACAGACCATATCATCAGCATATTTTTAAAACCTTCATAGTTCTGCTTCAAGAATACAAATACATAAAAGGTAGAAGCACTGAACTGTGCATAGTGTGTTTTCTGCCTGGAAATTGTCTAATAACCAACTGGTCACAAACATTTAAGTAGTCCTTAAAAGCTCCGAGTGAGTTTAATTCTGGTTTGAGCCCAGTGACTTTTTTTTTTTTTGAGTCAGTGTGTTCTAGTGTTTCTTCTTGATTTTGATAATTCTGATAATTTCTATGTAAAATGTTTAGAACTAATCCAGCCAAGGTATCTGTGCTTTGAAATGGATGTGATCCTGAGATCCACGCTGCTGTCTTCATTACACATGGCAAGCATGACAGCAGTAACTTCAAACTTGGGGTTTTGGTCTTCATCTGGATAACTTTATGTGATACTTCTGTATGTGCATGTGATTGCACTGTTAGTTCAGTGTGAACTCTAAATATTTCTTTACCTGCATAGGCACATCTCATGCAGCACCATAGAGATACAAACTGCAGACACAAATGGTCAGTCTGTATCTTGTTAGCTTCCATCTTTTGTTTTTGTTCCCAGTAATCTGTTATTTTGATGTCTTAAATTATGTCTTTTTCCTATTCTAGTAATTTTTTCTATTTTGGTTTATTTTGGTTTTCTTTTCAATTAGGTATGTTTCAAATTCCATTTCAGTTCTCTCACTGCTGACAGTCTTGCTTTGTGGAAATTGGCAAAGGGCAAATAGAGGATTCATGGTAATGTACTGCCCTAAATAACATAATTGGGAATTCACAAGAAATGTGATTCACCAAGATTATTATATTTTAACATGTAAGAAATCATTAGGTTAAGAAATGCTATACCTGATTCTTTAGATGTAATTGTATCTTGGTCCTAATGAAAGGTGTTTCTGTGCTTTGCCTTTGAAAGCAAGGATTTCAAATTTCTCATGCTATTTAACTTAGTTTTGTGGAGTTCTTTGCAAGACTGAAGAAACAAGCACCTTGACATATAGACAAGGCAACTGCAGATTTACCTCTTGAAGTCAATGCAGTTTCTGACACAGCATCTACTTTCTTCTTTTGAGAGAAGAAAGTCAGCATTCCCATTGTTTCTTCAGCCTGATCAGATTTTATGGGTGGTAGAGCCTGATTTGTTTGACAATTTAAGTGATGTGATCAAGTATACTTGCTAAGGTGGCACAGTCTTATAGCCTGCAGCAATACAAAGCAGAATATCTTGCAAAACAATTAAAAACCACAAAAACCTTAAAATCTTTTGTTGACAAAGTAGGCAACTGTAACAAAATTCCAGTTAAAGAAGGAGTTTAGGTTTTTTTTTTTTTCCAAATGAAAACACTTTGTGGCAGTGCTGTGCAGATCACTGCTTAGTTATTAAATGATTTCTGAAGGGCCTGATGTGGATTAACCTCTGTGTGGGCATGTGTATCTGTTTTGACAGTCCTTTTACTGCTCCATACTGCTTTTTACAACATGCCAGGGTTTAAGGAGCTGTCAGGGTTTTGGACGCTGCTTGATGTGATCTCAGTTGTGAGACTGATGTTTATGTCATTTTCCCAGTTCCTTACATTCAGAAAGTTTTAGACTTCTAAATCAATTCTTGGTGAAGGGCTTTACCTTGGAGGTTCAGTAGACATAGAAATGGAACAGCAGTCTGAAAAAAAAAAGTTTATTATTTATTTAATTTACAAGTAATGTGAATAAGGAAAATACTTTTCCTGATTTTGGGGGTATAAATGCAGTTGGTGAGTGTTTAAGCTCTCAAATGCATCTGCACTTTCTACCTACTGGTTCATTATTCAAGTTAATTTTATGCTATTTAGTCAAAGAAAAAATGTTACATGATTTTTTATGTGTTGGTTTATGTTCTACCTTCAGATACGTTGGCTCTTGAGCTATCATGAGGCAACTGTATTTCATTCTAAAAATTTATGAGCTGGGTGTTTTTATATCCTGGACTACTTTAAAATTCAGAGATTTAAATCTGACGGGAGCATCATTCCATCCCAACATCCAGTCAGTTGCCAGCACCTATAATAAATGCTCGGAGCAATGTAGAGATATTCCAGCTGCTTCAGCCAATGAGCCAGCTTCATTTGGAGCTTGGCTCAGATGCCTCTATACAAACACCCATAGCATGGGGAACAAACAAGAGGAATTAGAGATGTGTGCACATCTATGGGGGTATGATATAATAGGCATCACAGAAACATGGTGGGATGGCTCCTATGACTGAAGTGTTGGAATGGAAGGTTACAGACTCTTTAGAAAAGACAGGCCTGGCAGGCGGAGTGGGGTAGTTCCTGCTTATGTTAGGGATAGGCTGGAGAGTATGGAACTGTCTGGGGACAGGTGAGCAGTTAGCAGAGAGTTTGTGGGGCAGGGTTAAAGGGAAAACAGCGATGGGAGACATTACTGTGGGGATCTGTTATAGACCACCTGATTAAGAAGAACCTGCGGATGAAGCACTCTGCAGACAGATAAGAAAAGCCTCACGCTCACAGGCCCTTGTTCTCATGGGGGACTTCAACCACCCTGACATCTGTTGGAATGATGGTACGGCCCGGCACAAGCAATCCAGGAGGTTCCTCGATTGTGTGGAAGACAACTTCCTTCTGCAAGTAATAGAGGAACCAACAAGGAGAGGTGCCATGCTTGACCTCGTGCTCACCAACAGGGAAGGGCTGGTTGGAAATGTGATGCTTCAGGTCAGCCTTGGTTGCAGCAATCACGAGATGGTCGAATTTGAGATCCTCAGGACAGTGAGAGGAGCGTGCAGCAAGCTCACTGCCCTGGAGGACTGCAAGAGAGCAGACTTTGGCCTCTTCAGGAACCTGCTTAGTAAGGTTCCATGGGATATAGCCCTAGAGGGCAGGGGGGCCCAAGACTCTTGGTTGATATTCAAAGATAACCTGCTACAAGTTCAGGAGTGTTGCATCCTAACTAGAAGGAAGTGCAGCAGGAGGGCCAGGAGACCTCCTTGGATGAATAAGGAGCTGCTGAGGAAACTCTGAGGGGAAAAAAGAGGCTTATAAAAGGTGGAAGCAAGGACAGGCTGCCTGGGAAGAGTACAGGGATGTTGTCCGGGAAGTTAGGGACCAGGTTAGGAAACCTAAGGCCCAGTTAGAATTAAACTTGGCTAGGGATGTTAAGAATAACAGGAAGGGATTCTATAGGTACACTGCAAACAAAAAACAGACTAGGGACAATGTAGGCCCCCTCCAGAAGCTCTCGGGAGGACTGGCTACCCTGGATTTGGAGAAAACTGAGGTTCTTACTGACTTTTTTGCCTCAGTCTTCACTGGCAAAGGCTCTGACCGCACCACCCAAGACTTTGGAAGGCAGATGCAGGGACTGTGAGAATGAAGACCGTAAGCCCACTGTAGGAGAGGATCTGGCTGGAGACCATCTTAAAAATCTGAACGTACACAAGTCCATGGGTCCTGATGAAATCCATCCGCGGGTCCTGAAGGAGCTGGCAAATGAAGTTGCTAAGCCGCTGGCCATCATATTTGAAAAATCATGGCAGTCAGGAGAAGTTCCTGACGACTGGAAAAAAGGGAAATATAACCCCCATTTTCAAGAAGGGTAAAACGGATGACCCGGGGAATTACAGACCAGTCAATCTCACCCCTGTGCCTGGCAAAATCTTGGAGCAGATTCTCCTGGAAGGCATGCTAAGGCACATGAAAATCAACAAGGTGCTTGGTGACAGCCAGCATGGCTTCACTAAGGGGAAATCCCTCCTGACCAATTTGATGACCTTCTATGATGGGGCTACGGAACTGACGGACAGGGATAGAGCAGTTGATGTCATCTACCTGGACTTGTGCAAAGTGTTCGACGCTGTCCCACACGACATCCTTGTCTCTAAATTGGAGGGACATCAATTTGATGAATGGACCACTCAGTGGATAAAGAACTGGCTGGATGGCCGCACACAAAGAGTTGTGGTCAATGGCTCAGTGTCCAGCTGGAGACCAGTAACGAGTGGTGCCTCTCAGGGATTGGTGTTGAGACCGGTCTTGTTCAACATCTTTGTCGCTGACATGGACAGTGGGATTGAGTGCTCCCTCAGCAAGTTTGCCGATGACACCAAGCTGTGTGGTTCGTTTGATGCACTGGAGGGAAGGAATGCCATCCAGAGGGACCTTGACACGCTTGTGAGGTGGGCTGATGCCAACCTCATGAAGTTTAACCATGCCAAGTGCAAGGTCCTACACCTGGGTTGGAGCAATCCCAGGCACAGCTACAGGCTGGGCAGAGAAGAGATCCAGAGCAGCCCTGAGGAAAAGGACTTGGCGGTGCTGGTCAATGAGAAAATGAACATGAGCCGGCTTCAGTGTGTTGTTGCAGCCCAGAAAGCCAACTGTATCCTGGGCTGCATCAAAAGGAGCGTGACCAGCAGGTCGAAGGAGGTGATCCTGGCCCTTCCTTCTACTCTGCTCTCGTGAGACCTCACCTGGAGTATTGTGTACAGTTCTGGTGTCCTCAACATAAAAAGGACATGGAACTGTTGGAGCAAGTCCAGAGGAGGGCCACAAGGATGATCAGGGGACTGGAGCACCTCCCATATGAAGATCGGCTGAGAACGTTGGGGCTGTTCAGCCTGGAGAAGAGAAGGCTGCGTGTAGACCTCATAGCAGCCTTCTAGTATCTGAAGGGGGCAGATAAGGATGCTGGGGATGGACTCTTCATTAGGGACTGTAGTGATAGGACAAGGGGTAACGGGTTCAAACTTAAACAGGGGAAGTTTAGATTGGATATAAGGAAGTAGTTTTTTACTGTTAGGGTGGTGAGGCACTGGAATGGTTTGCCCAGGGAGGTTGTGAATGCTCCATCCCTGGCAGTGTTCAAGGCCTGGTTGGATGAAGCCTTGGGTGAGATGGTTTAGTGTAAGGTGTCCCTGCCCATGGCAGGGGGCTTGAAACTAGGCGATACTAAGGTCCTTTCCAACCCTAACTATTCTATGATTCTATACTATAAATTTTGATAAAATTCTGCTTTTGCACATCTTCTTACTGTCATGGGACAGGTAAACTTGGAGAAAATAGCTATCAGCTACCAATATAAATGTGTTAAAATAGGAAGCAAAAAAGTGCATTTCCCCTCCCTGGACATGAGGATGGTGAAACAATAAACTAGGCTTACCACCTTCATGGGATTGTCTTCAGAGCAAGAAGAATATTTAAATGTGTTGTGCAGTCATAGCTTTTAAAAATTACGTGTGAACCTCTGTTTGCAGCTTGTTCCCCCAGCTACCTTGAGGACACATTTGTGAAATATGGGCAGAGTTTTGCTATTCATCTGTTGGGATCTGAGAAAAAATTATTAACCAGTTTCACGTTATTTTACAATGTAACTTCTCTTTCTCTTACCTGTACTTTCATTCTGTTTTAACAAGTGAATTGTTTGCAGCTGGTCATATTAGAGTGAACACAAACAATATTGATGTTTATCTTGTTTTTCAGTTTAATTTGATATATATGGAAGCATTTCTTTTAAAAATGATGGGTTTTTTTTCCTCTAGCTAGCCAGCTAGTGTTCACAGCTAGTGAAGTGTTCTCTGCAAAAGCCCTATGGCATGTTCAATGCAAATTGGACACTTTTCATTTTTCTGATTCAGGAAACTCACAGTTCCAATGCAGTAATATCCTGATGTAAAGGACATTTGCCCAGGTTTGAGATGAGGGTGAATAAAAAAGAGTTTAGACCATAAGTAAAACGTAAGTACTGCCAAATTATTACATAAGATGGAAGGAGAGAGCTAACAGTAAAAGCAAATGCCAGCTTTTAAGCAAGGCTGCTGGAAATTTCAGGGCTGATGGGAGTTATGAGTCATGTAATGTATGCAGCCATTACGAAAGTGAGAGTATTACTTGTCATATAGGCCAAGAGGAGATGCTGTTAGGGGTTTGTTCCACTGGCCAACAGTGCTGCTGACTCAGAAGGAGGAATGATGACACATGAAACCCTTCCACTGAGTACCAGCTGAGGTGTCTCCTTGATAGCCAGGACTTATATGAATCATTTTATTCTAAAACCTAACAATGTAAAATGGGAAAAATCAAATAAGAGATGAATGGTAATAGCAGTGCGTTCAGCTGTTGGACTTGAGCAGAACTGAGTTACAATCTGTTGTTCTCCAGCAATTCATTTACTGTCATTGGTAAACAGCCAAGAGCTCAGGTACAAAATACCAATTCATATGCATGATACCTCCTAGGACAGCTTGGGTGTGTATGCTGTCCGAGTGGAAACCATCTTGAATTTACGTAATCTTAAGCAATTTGATGTATTTCAGAGCCACACAGAGCAAGTTTTTTAAGAAATAGAAAAGGGTAAAAAAAGAATAAATAAAATCTGGTCAAGTTACTTGCTTTGCATGCAGAGCTGGGACATGAGTAACTGTCTTGCATCTCACTGAAGTACAGTAACAGTTTCTCTAGAGTTTTCTAATCTGTTTTCCCTGGTTTTCCAGTTAAGAATAGTTTATAGGCATTGATAAAACCCCTGCCCAGAGAGGCTGTAAAGTCTGTTTTCCATGTAACCTTTCAGTGGGTTCGTTTCACCTGGAGTAGGGCAAGCTGAGGTTTAAATCCTTTTTCCGAACCAAGAACAGAAAGAACTAAAACCTGCTCCCTTCTCGTCTTAAATCAGAAATTCTGTCTTGGATTAGAGAAGCTTTCTCCCTGCCAAAAAGGGTTCACGCAGTGTGCCTCATCTCCATCAAAAGTTCTTTGAGCAGACAGTTTTATAGGAAAGCTCCTGATGAACTCTCACTTCACTGAACTTCTCGGCTGAAGTTTAACTGCAGAGTTCTTCAAGGAGTGAATTATATCCCCGAGACAGAGTAATATGAATGATTTGGTGAGCACAAATGAAAAGCGAAGTGATGTTAACTGAGCTGTCACCTTTAGTACTCTAGGTGCTTGATAAGGGTCTAGGCACAGCAGACCATAAGCAAAAATGGAAGGGATAAGAATGGATTTGTGTTCAAGGGAAACTGGGGGCTACTAGAATTTAAACTGTAGCTGCTGTCCAGAAAAATCCTGCTGGCTGTTTGATGAGAAGTATGCCACTATGCTGGGTTTCTACTTGCCAAGCCATCTAAATCAGTCAGCTGAATCAGCTGAGCTTTTGAATGGAATGATGCAGGAATCTCATCTGACAGGCAGAGCTAAAATTGCAATTCATTAGAAAGGTGAAAGAAGGATTGTTGCCTTCTAACTGCTACAAACCCTCCAGCACCTTACTACAACACTAAAACTGTTCTATCTGCTAAAAATAACCTGAAAAAATGAAATAATAAATGCCTGCACTTTGGGCCTCATGGAGACTACATCAGTGGCCTTCTGAGCCCCACACCACCCCAGAAATCAGTGTTTGTGGTCAGAAGTCCCACTGGATACAGCTGAGTATAGGATTCTGGGCTGATGTATTTAAGACCAGTAGGAACAAACACTTAAATATACAATCTTATTTCATATACCCAGAGGAAAGGGAAGTTGTGCTTTTTCTGACATCCTTACCCAGATAAACTCTCATGGAGGACAACAGATTCTGCAAATGTAAGCCCAAAATTGTTCGTAACAGCTGCTGTTTGGGAACAAACAGGATTAGATGGGACTGACCCCAGGCTGGGTTTGAAGCAGAAGTAGCTAATGGAGTATAAGGGGTTTCCATGTCATCAGCAGTACCTCAGGTATTCTGCACCTTTGTTGAGACCATTTCTTGCAAGATTTATCCCTTTCTGAAGATTTCTGTTGCAGGTCCACTTACCCAGGCCAAAAGACATTTAAATGTCTGTATTTTAAACTAATTTCCTCTTACTTCAGTACAGACACAATCTATGTACTCATTCAGTGGCCTGAAAATTCTGCTCCTGTTTCACCAGGTGCCAAAAGCTTTAATCCACTCTCACCTTGCTGCACCTCCTGTAACAATAGATGAGTATGTGCTGGCAGTCCTTGAAATGTACTGTGAAAAGTGAAATCTAGAAGATCTATTTGTGTTGGTGATCTGTGTGTGACAGCGTTAGGTCTGACACACTTCATGTGGACAATGGGAATTGCTAGAATGAAGAGATCAGTCAGGGGAGGTGAAAGGGAAAGGTTCATATTAAAGCTAGGAAACAAAGTAAAGGGAAGTCAAGGCAAATGTGAAATTTTGCAGTATAAAAAAGGAAACAAGGAAAAGTGGGTATAGTTACTTGATTGTGTAACTGAAAAGCAGGTGTTCCCAAGTGTCCGTTCTTCAGAAGCCCTCGTGACTGCTGTCTGAGATAACTGATTGCACAGGTGGAGGGAGTCTCACAGACCAAGAAATGTACTCAAAAGCACTTGCACAAATATGTTCCTCCAGAGAGGACCAAGGACAGGCGTACGTAAATAACAATTCTTGGCTCAGAAGCAGAGCCTGAAGTTGCACAGATGGCTGCGTTTGAGTCCACAGGCGCATGGAAATAATAGCAAGGTTCTTCAGTTTGTTTTATGTAGTGGTAGATTAGAAAGCATTATTCAAGCTAAATTTGGAGGAAAAGCAGATGCAACATGAATCAGTTATAAAAATGCTTTTTGGTAAGTTTATATTAATTTAGAAACATGTTGCTCTTGGTAAGAGTCAGGAGAATAATTGAATGTACAAGGCATTGTAGTCTAAGCAGACACATAGATTTGGAAATTATTGTCTAGAAAAGCCAGCTGGTAGCACTGGGATACACAACAGACTGCTGCTGTCAGTCAGCAGAACGAGGACACAGGACCTACAGCTAGAGTGAGCTGGAGGTGGGGCAGGAGAGGCAATAGCTGTTTCCTCCTAGCAGAGAGTACTGCTCTTTAAGTTTGTTTACAGGATGCGAGTGAAAAGTAGCATCCTGTTTCAGTTACTGGTAACTAATAAATGCAAGCACCACAGTCTGGGGGGGAGGAGGGTGTTAGTTGTGGCTGTTTTTGGATTCTTTTTTAAATAATCCCTTGCTTACATAAGTACTTGTTTTGCTACTTACCTGACCACAGCTGGGGTTTATGATTTCTGAAACCTTTGTCACTTCTAGCTCAGTCTGATGGAATATAGGAGCCTTACAGGATACCTCCTACTGTGCCAGTGGTGGCAGAGATGAGATCTGGGTTGGCTGGTGGACAAGATGTGGAGATCTCAGTAGGATACACAGTGAATGCACAGTGTTCTGAGGTATTAAGCTTTGGGGACAGAGGAAAATAGTGTTATGTTCCCTTAACTCATCATCTAGACAAGAGCAATGTTCTGCTCACAAGCAGTACAGTGTGTGCAGCAGATTCTCTGTGGTCCTGAGAGCACTTCTCCATCTGGCTTCTTGGCTTGGGGCATGCTGCTGAGACCCCAGATCCACTTGCCTGGTCTGTCTTGCTGTCAGAATCCCTTCAGCAGCAAAACCCTGTGCAAAGCCTGTAGAAAAGAAATTCTTTCCAGAATAATTTTTTCCTTTCAAATCTCCACTTTTACCCTTGCTTAAAAGCACACCCTTGTGTACTTTTGTACACAAAGTGAAGCTGGGTTTTCCTTCCATCTTGCTGCCTAGGCAAAATTATGTCTGCCCACGTGTCTCCTTCACATACAGGGCACAGCTGCTTTTTCTGTTTCTCTCAAAAGGGATGAAGATAAAGGGAGCACTCTTGACAGTCCAAACCCAGAAAGCGTTTGCAATGATTCTTTCCATCCACAGATCAGATCACATTGTCCTTTCCTCCTCCTTATAATTTTTCCCTGACTCTACAAGGCCAAAACATTTCCTGTTCACCTTCCTTCCCTTCTATTGCCATCCCAGCCCTACATCTGGGCTCTGCAGAGCCACATTTCAGCTGCAAGTGCATCGAGTTCACTTTTTTCTTCTGTCACCATCTTTCTAAGTATTTGCTCTTCTACCCACCTTATTAATCTCTTTCAAATCTCACAAGCAATACAGGACAAAGCTGTGCACCTGCAGCTTGCTCTCTGCCTCTACACAGCCTCTGTAATTGGAGGCTTGTCAGTCTTGGCTTTGGTGTGTAGCAAAGAAAGTCTCTGTGGGTTTTAATGGATATTTGACAAATTAGTGCAGCAGAGGAGTGAGGTTGGATGTTAATAAAGATTTGATGTCTTGTGGAAAACACTGCTTTTCAATGAGCTTCCTTTGAATTTCAACCAGCTTTTAGTTTTCATTAAAAAGGAAGGAAATAAATGCAACAGAAAAAAAAAATGCTTGAAAAATACCAGGGAACATACAGCTATGCCTGACAGTCTTTCCTGGACTGTATTGTTTTCCTTCAGTCACTTGATCCTATTTAAACAGGTTTCCTATCCAGTAAACACAAGGAGACTGAGAGATGTTTTCTGGATCCTTTTCCTAGATCTGCAGTCCGAATGAAGTGAGGACTTTGATGCTAGCAGGACTTTCTTCTGGTTAAAAATCCACTGTGAGAACCTGTCTCATAGCTGAAAATTTGCTTTGGTCACTACTGCTTTTTTCTTAACTCAGT